AGAAAAATATGCACATGGAAGAATTTATATTGTATATTATAATCACATCTTGTAATATAACTAATATAAATGTAAACATGCGTCAGTGTTGGACAATTGCCATTATACTCGTAGCACCGTGCCCTCGCGCTTGTCGCACCACGCCTGAATTCTAGATGCATCTTACGATTCTGGCGTGACAATTTTGACAGACGTACTTAATATATATAAATCTTGATCGGCATTCGTAAACTAAGTCCACAGCTACGATTATTCCAACTGAAGAGTAATAAAATAGCGAAAAAGTACTTGTGCCATTGTATTCAAAGCGCACGAGCTGTTATGTACAGTAATGGGTGTCCGTTTTTGTGTACAAAGTAGACCTCACATGTAAATTATGTGCGGAATGCAGTAGATATGTCAAACAATGAACGGGTCTAGAACACACTTTATGTCCTAGGTCAGTGTTGTTTGGTGATATTTTGCGTCAAATTATAATGATGTCGATGTCACGAGCCTAAAGTTTCTAGTTAAGTAAAGATAAGAATAATTGAAAATAGGATTTAATTATAATATTATCACGAACTTGAAAAAGACCGAATCAATTTTTTTTATAATAAAATAATGTACTGCAGTTTGAACCGAACCGAATTTTACGGCAGCTAGTTACAATGAAAAGGTTACCTAGGTAATAGACATCTGCACAGGACAAGATTATAGTGGACGAGGGTATGCTAAAGCACAAGTGCATTATTTACTCCCTCACTCTCATTGTCCAATGCAACGGCGTCCCGATACGACCGGAGAGAGGTCAGGCAAAGGACTAACAGCTACATGTGTTTACCGAGGCAAGAAGGTGAAACAGTACCAACATCCTGACTCCGCGCTACTACTGAGGATTTCTTGACACAAAAACCCAATAATTGACTGTGGCGCGACCCGGGATTCAAACCTGGTAGAACATGGTTAGCAGTGTCATTTACGACTACTAGATCAACGAGGCTGTCAAGAATCCATTTTTTATAAAATGGAAATGTCAAACCAAAGTACCTACAGCCCACCTGATAGTAACTAACTGTCTTTCCATCCGATTACAATGTCTTCAAGGCTAGAGTGAATATGCATTTGCTAAGTCAGTGCGTTCACCGTCTTAGGCTACATCACCACTTACCAACAGGTGGTGTTAAGCGCTGGCTAAGAATAATAAAAAAAAACTCTAGTCCATGACAAAACGCACACAAATTTAAGTAAAGGGTCTACAGTAGGTGCGTTGTCACCTCTGGGGGCTATAATGGCAGCGTGTAATTTGAGAGCAGCGCACGCACTGTTGTTTGGCGGCAGAAATAGTAAGGAAGGTGGCACATATCCTGTCGGACTCCTAGATAGAAAATTAGTTTGGTACCTAGTAATCCTAGTAAATGTTACATTCTGGATAATATGCTTGTTTTATTGGGGGCCATAGAAGCTTAGGGTACGCGCTACTTGAATTGGTGAGTAAGTTTTATCCGCGCTAGCTGTATTGAAATGTTTAATCAAAATATTAAGCGTTATTTACCACGTGCTCAGCGTTGAAGGAAAATACATAAAACAATAAATAAATATAGATAGAAAACAAGTATGACAGAAAAATTTAATGGCACGTAATGTTTATGTATGTACCTGCCTTGAAGTATTTTATATATAAAATGGCTTCTAAAAGTGACGGCAGAATTTTCTTTGTACACAAGGGGTATTTTATGAAGAAAAAATCCCAATTTACATAATTGTCCAGTAGTGGAACGCAAATAGGTATATAAGCAGTTAAGAGAAATAAAAAAAAAGACATTGGAAATAATCATCATAATGTACGTATATAAAAGTCTTGAGAGTTTCCATATCATATCATATTCGCGTGAACATGTGATACAGTATGGAGCTTTATGAATTGTTGTAACTAAATATTAGATTATAACAATTCCATAGAAATATTCCAAGTTTTATAAGTCGTATAAACAAGGAAATTAGAATAAAATCTGATACTTAGAGGCTACATTACTCGTAATATAACAACGATATCAAAACGGTGAAAGTATGTACAATTTACGTCGTTCATAACTATTCGAGTTGGAGAAACTGTTACCATTTCGCGTAACATATTTATTCCCTCCGGGACGTGTCCTTTGTAGTAATGTACTTCAATTATTATTGCTAAACTCGATTAAATAATACTGTTATTTATATTTTTATAAAAAATAAATCCATTAATGACTGACATTAATGGCGTCTACCTAATTTATGAACGATAATATTAACACGTCTTACAAGCTCATGTTCGAACAATAAACATTTTATTATATTTATTTTAAATAGAATATAAATTTACGTATACTTTATAAAAGATATTTATGTCGTGCTGTGTGATGTAAATCGTCACCTACTAAATAATCTCAAAATATTTCAGAGAAAACGCTTACACCACGAGCTGGAAAATGCTCGCACTATAGACCATACAGACCATAAAAAGAAGTTTACACGGAAGTAAAATTTTGCTGGAAAATAGTTAGACTTAGTTCGTTAATTTTGATGATTTCAATGACATAAAATGTCACTTGTTTATCCTTATTTCTTTTTTTCTTATCATATTTTCACAAATATGATTTAATAAAATTCTTGATGCCTTTTATAAGTCATTCCTAAAACTTATAAGAGGTATCAAGATAAAAAAAGATGTAAAAGGTATACATTTTAAGAAAAGTATAAGAAGAAGTATAAGATACGAGTATAAAAGATATGAAGGTGTAGATGTAATAAAGACCACGGATAATTACGTTAGCTTAATTTATTATGTGGGTCCCTAAATAGTAGATATATGAAAATAAATAAATACAAGTTAATATAAGTATAATAAAGTTCTATTAAAGTTAATGCCAAGCAATTCATTTAATGCCTATGAAATTGTTATGACAATAGCACCCAAAGCTCTGTCATCTTTTTAATAATGTACGAAATCAAATTAATATAACATAAAAAATATGAAATGGATTTATATTGGCAATTTGATTTAACTGTATGTTTATATATAAAGGAAAAGTCTATATAAATTATAAAAAAAAACTACAAAAAATTATTTCGTAAATAAAATAATTCCCCCAATTGAAAATATAGATTAGGTACGTTGTAAAGTAACCGATTGTCCCTTTTATTTATTAAAAACGTCTAATAAGCGTTATATATTACATATCTATATTACCTTTCATATAAAACTTTCATTTTATGTTTTATATGCGTGTAATAGCATATGTAGTAGGTAATTTTAAATATCCCGTTCATACCTTGGTACTAATTGATATAAATTCATTAAACAATTACGTTATTGTTAATAAAGTTAAAAACTTCAATTAATACAGAATAGAATAGAATCACTTTGATTTCATTTAGATTACATGTACCTACCTACCTAACCTATTGAAAGTATTTTTTTATTTTTACCACTGGCTCGGAAAAAACCTTTGTCCTGGGAAGAACCAGCAAGAAACCCAGCGGGGATTTCTTATTACAGCACAATTTACGAGTACAATATAATTTTTATACGATTGTCTAAATATCTAATACGTTTTAATTGTTTAGAAATTAATTAAACCTGTTAACAATTATTATTATTATTATTGCTTAATTTATAATTGAACATCTTAAATCACTTGTCGGTGCACTCACGATTTCATTACTATTATTATATCTGAGGTCATATAAAAACGATAAGTTTTGTAAAAACATTCTCGTTTTTATATTATGATCTTACAATGAGTGAGAACCCGACTTACGTTGATTTGTTTGTGATAATATCCATAAATGATTATAACCATTAGTTGTAAAATTGTAGACAGTTTATTCATACATTTTCAAGCTTTTAAATTTATGTATGTGTGTGTCATGTATTTTCTTTTTTGTCGTTGCATTGCTTTAATTAGCTATACCTTCACGCCTGTTTGTTTTATAAGCTCATTACTATACTTATTTGTACTTTTGAAATGTTTTAAAAGTTTATTTCCCGTATCGGCCGTTGCTACTTGGGCGGAAGAAGCTCATTTCGAAAAGGTAGTAGATTAAAATAATGAAGTTTGAGAAACGAAATATAAAATTTTATCCGACGCGACGCAAACAAAGATTTTCTTTCATTTCGGTAGCAGCGTCAGTTTAAGAAATCGCGAAATAGTTCAGTTATATTTTTTACCGCCGTCGCGTCGGCATGACATACATATCTCGGCCATCTCTTGTTTAACGACTTCACCTGTATGAAAAGAATCGGGCAGGCTACAATTATATTCTTATCTGCTATGTTTTTAATTAAGAATATAAGTAATAAAACAGGCAGTTAAAGCATAATTAGCCACACGTCGACCGAATAATTTTTGTGTTACAACCGGCATCCATTAAACATGAAAATGACTATAAAATTAATAGCTAATGCCAGTTTTATTGCATTTATATTTAACTTTACTTCAATATAGACTGATTTATAACATATTATAAGAGTACCTATAAATAAATAAATATATGTAAATTAATTCCAATTGGTTTTTTTGCGTATTATTGCTCAACTTAACGATTTGATCTATAATGATAGATAAAAATTAATTACTATATTATATAACGTGTATATAAGTAAATACTTATGCTTATTAAGATTAACTTGGGAAACGTTGGAATAGTTGTAATTTTTTTATCAGAAACGGTAATCTTTATTTTATGATTATTTATATTACTTATAATAAAATTATTAGATACAAGTATGTAGTTGTAAATTGCATTTAGTAATTAAGGTACATGTAATTAGGTCTACCTACAAAATCAACTAAGTATATATTATCTAATATAGCTACTAATAATTAATAGCTTATTACATACAACTATCGCGTAATGTAAATAAAAAAATAAAAGCATATCAACCTACTTCTACAGAAATTTATGACATAAAAACTAATGTAGGTATTTAATTGTCTGCAGGAAATAGAAAGAAGCATGCAATGAGATGATCTATTTACCAGTAATAGACATCCACGGGTAGCGCGGTATGTCGGGCAATGGCTGGGCTGAGGGCTGGGCACAGGTTGCTCCCATCGCGTCAACGGAAGCGGCTGAAGCTGCCGAAGCAGCTGACGCCGCCGCCTGGTGGTAGAACTGAGCTGCGGCTGCCATGCTCGCCGAAGCAGCTGAAACCGCCGCGCCACCATTGTGCTGACCCAGGGCGTAGTTCATCATAGGGTCCGCGCCCACCGCAGCCGGATACCGGCAGCTCTTGTCATCGGCCCCGACACCCGCCGAGAACGGCACCGAGCCTCCGAACTGCTGATGGTGTGACACGTACGGGTACATCCTCGCCGGTGCGCCCGGTGACGCCGACGACGACGACGACGACCGCTGCGGGCTCCCGGCCCCTGGTGAGCCAGCGCCCAGCGCCGCCGCTCCCAAGCCTCCTGACAACGACGATGACAGCGACGTCGACAACGACGACGACAGAGATGACGACAGAGAGGCCTCTATAGGCGATGCCCCCGCACCCGCGAATAAGTTCTGGTGATGGAACTGCTGGTGGTACTTTGGGAGCATGCTATCGATGATGAACTTGGAACTCATCGCTCGGCGGCGACGCGGCGCGCGACGTACGCCTCGCGGGAGGATGCGTTTATCGCCGGCGATTCGGATCGATTCGCGCGCGTGCACCTCTACTATGGCCGCGGATCGTTTATGACCCGCGTATGAGGCTCTACGACTCTGAATTCCCCGTCGCGGCAAGCGTTTACCGCTGCCGCGCGCTCCGAGCGAGACGACAAATCAAAGACCTCACGTGGGACTGTGATGGAAGAATCGAAACGCGTCAAGTCAAAAAACTCTCCGTCTCGTTAATTTCTACCTGCGTGGCTTGTATTAGAAAGAGATAAAAGCTATTCGCTAACGAGTTTCCCGCCGGCCATTGTTGGTAATGGCGGCCGCCCCCCGCACCTCCGAGCCCACGGGCGCTACGCCAATAGTACTCCGCTGCAGACATTCGCCACCAATCACAAACCATTCCAGCACTTCTAGCTGTCAAAGTGAACGGCTTTAAGCGAAACGGCGCCAATAATTTTTCCAATATTTTCTTTTGGTTCAAAATTTTTTAAGTTTTTTGTATGAAAACATTTTAAAGGGCATGTTCTTTGGTTAAAATAGGAGCTCGATGAATTTCTTGCCGCCTTTTACGGATTTGCATTTAATTTAATATATATATTCGGAATTTATACATAATACATATATTATGATATCATAATGAAATAAAATATATAAATAAAATTAAGGTGTTAAAATATTTTATTGTAAAGCTAAAATTATTTAGAGATATGAGAATAAACTTATTTTGTTTGGTGACAATATTTGAAAGCAAATATCGTTATTTTTATAATAAACAACGTATCAATAAAAATTAAGATATAATATTTTCTTCATATTTAATTTACCTAGTTACGAGTATTTGTCTGCACAAAATGCGGATATTTAATTTTATAAAGTTTCAAGTTAGATTTAAACTGCATTACGAATAATGTTTTCCCAATAAGCTCTAATACTTGTTTTGGTTCTCCATTACTAAATACATACATTTTATAAGCTGACGTGGAGAAAGCACCTGTAAAATATCTGCAGGCGAACAAGCAAGTGAAAAAATCGAAAAATATTTTGATCTATTTCAAATTCTTGTCTTATTTTGTAGATTCTATTAAAAATAAGGCATCCAAATATTTGTCGAGTAATTCTTATAAGAAACTTTTAAATCATGTACCAATTGTACTCTTAAGAGAGAATTGCACTTAGTTGTTTTATGCCAGCCACGTGGTTGAGCCGGTATCGCTTGTCCTTCTCCAACTTATATGCTTTCTCTTTCACACATTTCATTCATACGCGCGGGTCGTAACCGCAAAAAGCACGTGCGCAATAACAAACTTTACGATCATTTAAATAAAACCGTTTATTGCGTGAGAAGTTTATTTATTTACAGCGGTTTCGATTGTTAGCCACGTTTAGTGCATGGTTTTTATGGGCTCAAGTTGCCTTTTCAGCTTTATCAGGTCGCTAGTACGACGGTGAGGCAGTAGAACATTGCATAAGTATAGGTTTTATGTTGTTATTGTGATGTTTATGCCACAAATGTATAGGGAGCAATGATATGGCCAGTTAGGGTCATTTGTTTTACGATAGGTGCAATTTTTTATATCTTTTTAATTGTTTCGAATTATAAATATTGAAGTTAACGACTATTTACGTCCTTATCTACGGTTTATTATGTAGGAATATGATTTTTATTGCTTTATCACTAAGTAATGGTTGTGGCCATTAAAGTTAACCTTTAACTTTTTTCAGCTATGTAGAACAATAAAACTTTTTAGATAGTATAAACTTTGATTTATTGAGTTCTGTTAGAGCACGAAACTATACGTATGACTTTACTTTTGTCGATCAATGTTTAGTTTGATGTAGAGTTAGTGTATGATTTCTACGATAGAGCCGTATAAAAAATAAAAAATTCTTAATAATTTTTATGTAAGTAAATTACATTAATTCTTCCTGGCTTTACTAATTTCGGATGGTAAAATATTACAGTTATTGTAGAGAAGTTAAATATATAACAAATAGGTAGGTACTAGAGATGTTAAATATCATTAGGTATGCTCTCAATACTTTGTTATACCTACTATAGATATATTTATAAGTGCAGGTAGTTAACTATACTAGTATTTGAATATGCTATGATGAGGCTGTGAAATTTACTCTATCAATGAGCCTACGATCACTTGGTCATCGATATGCCCTCATCGAAAGAACACATCGTCCACTACATTGCTTCGCTGCTGTTAAGCGACTTCTCTTATGCCGTTTCATTATTCTCTTGCACGTAAATGAAGGCCACGTAAAAGTTATCACGGTGTTTAATAAAATTGTCTAATTTTTAAGTAGGTATGACCTAGTCAGCCAACACGCATAGATCCCTATGTACACACCTCTCAAAAATGAGAGGAGGTGTATCCATCAGTGGTAAGTAGGGGCTGTTATTTTTTTAAGAACCTACGACCTAAAAATATTAAGATAATCAAGGAATTTTTTATGCTCTCCTCACTGAGCTATCATGACATTAAATTCCATTTTAACTAAATAATAATTTCTTATTCGGTATTACAAATAAATAAACAATTAAGATACTTAATATTAATTTAACCAACTGAGATAAAATAAACCTACAAAATAAATAAAATAAATTGGGTATATTATTTATATAAAGTGGAAATATTTGTAATATTATAAATCTAATTCGCAATCTTGTTTTTTTAATTGTGCAAAGCACCTAGGCGGGTCTAATAAAAACAGTATCACTGCGACCTGTAAGATCTATTGTGATCGCTGCTATGGCTAAGTATAGTTTACCGCTAAGCCTAGTTAGCCTATATCTTCAATGAATTGAAGGAGTTGCTTAGCTGTGAACAATCACGCTTTTTCTGGCCTACGTACGTAGTTTCCCAGATGAGTGTTACGTTTGCGCATTAAGAGTCTACAAGCAGTTAGCACGCGCAGATATGTCTTTTCCGTTAAGAAACAGAATCAGCACATTCGTTGAGTTACTAAGTCCATTATGGACATGTGCTTTTTTTAGACAAGCGTCCAGTCAGGGCTCTTGCCAGAATACGCGGTTTATTCTTACTTAATCCTAGGGGTTCTGAAATCGTAATCTTGCTCATTTTTACAGGAAAAGAGGTATTCCAAGAGGTGCTCGTTTGTCACCCTATCCTATAAAAAGAATTGTTTCATTTTCCTTTTTTTCTTCTTAGTAGTACCTAATAGTTACCTCTTACAGCATTAAAAGAACGAAATAGGATTATGGATTCTTATACGCCTTTCTATTCCTATATCTCTCACGGCTATTGGTTATTATATCCCATTTATTCATATTTGACAAAGTAAGTATGATAGATGTATTTATATAGGTATTTATATATTTAATTTTTAATACAACGCTTCAATATGCATTTTAATAATTTTCCAAATAGAAGTGGCTTGGAAGACTACCCGATGGTCAGGGCTCTTGCAACTCATAGACACCTCCAACTTCAAACAAAGAAAGCCAAAGACGTGGTGTTACCCTTGATGACTAACACTGTATGCAATTATACTGACTCTCTTACTCTTCATACAAAACAGCACTGCTGCTTTAAGGGACAAATAGACATAATATCAATTCAAAGAGACTGCTATGCTACTAAAAGTGTGATCGCATATTATAGATCATTAACATCAGAGAAGACCATTTCGGCAAAAGAAAGATAATTGAATTCAAAGTGTATTTTCAGGCCACGTGATGATGTAATATGTAGATCTGTCCTAAGATGCCTACAATGAATTTAGAAATTTTGTAAAGAAAACTACAGGTGCACGACTGAGAACACCCTCAAACAGACTGTGATTCACTTAAAAATCTGTAATAATCGCAATTGTTTCAAACAATTGAAAGTTGTCATGAGCTCAGATCGTGATTAAAATCAAATAGGAGAGTATCTTTAACAGCCTAATAGGATTTCTTTGGTAATAAGCATGGATACGAGGTCCATTTGGTCTTAAATTATCCTATTAAGATAACCGTTTGATCTTTAAAAAATTCTGTTGCATATTAATATTTCTGACTGAAATAACGGTGGTTTATTATATTTTTAGGGTAACCTATATACCTTTATACCGCATAATTAACGGTTAAAATAATTTCAAGTGTCCTTCATTCAGCCAGTCAATAAAGCTAATGCGATCTAATAAAATAATAAATGTAGTTTTTTAATGAATTGTAAAACAAAATTTCATCACTATAACTGAATTTACAAAAGTAATATCGTATTACTATACTACTTTGTTCGAAAGTTTTGTACGCCGCAATAAGGTATTCTTATGTCTAAGTGTAGATATATATTATGTTTGAGTAAAGATAGCCTGTGAACGTTTGTAAGATACCGAAGTTTTAAAAATATATAGTGAAAACTACTTTAATAAAACTATATAGTAAATTCTGACGGTCTTTTCCAAAACGTGGTTTATTGATAGTATCAAGCAGAGGCTATCTCGTAGTCTAGCTAAAACTAAAAAACGGCTTGACCAATTTTAATGAAATATTTTGTGTGAGCCGGTAGGTAGCGCTGTTGTCGAGATCCAGAAATCACCCGTGTGAAGCCGGGGCAGATCGTTAATGATTGATAATTCAAACCATTCTATAAAAATCGTTAAAGTTCATTATTTAGTCACTTTGATTCATTACTTGCCAATAAGAATCCATACTAGAAATATCGCTTTAAAGGGATAATGAACAAGATGAACCGGTATGAGAGTTTTAAGTGTTTTAACATCTCAATAACATTAAAAACTTTAAAGGCAAAGCAATCCATACTTTGCTCGTATATATAAAGTTTACGACACAATGTAGTGGTTCGCGTGTACCGCCATATAATCGCATAACACGTAAAATGTAGCCAAATGCGAGTGCAGGCTTTTGAGTAAAGGGACTGGGGTACCATCACACCCTGTTTTATAGGGGATCGATGGTGGATAGCCATCGGGCGAGCCGCAAAGTCTCA